ATGGAAAATTCCAAGAGATATATTCCACTTCATTACAATCAAATGCATTGTTCCATCTATAAATAAATTAGTATAGGCTCTCACGCCCGAAACATACATCCCTCCATAGCTAATGAACGCCAATGGTCCAACCTAATCTCTAAAGTGAACAAAAACTTCACAAAGAAAAAGAGAAATCTCAAAGTTGTGACAATTCCTAAGCAACGATATTGTTAGAGCAAACACTGGTGCAAAGCTCTGAAGTATACAATACTTGAAGCATCAAGGTAAAATGTTTAATTAAAAATAAAAATATTACACCCATGGCACAAAAGTTTGGAAAATATTACAAGAAATAAATAATATAAAGAAAAATTAAAATCAAGCCGAAGAATTTGAAATCGAGGCACTGAGACCACCTAATTAAGCCACCCATGGAGAAAAATTAAAAAGATCTAACGCCTCAGTAGAAATTACAACATCGAGGCATAACTTCCTTACCCACTCCACAAATTGGTCACAGACTTCTAGCACGACCCACATTGTATGCTGAAAAGTGTCATGGAGCACTTGTCTCCAGTTCACCCACACGAGTTGCCAGGGCCGAAGGAGAGCCATATATTTTCACTGCCTCTTGCAAAGAGTCATAAGCTTTAACTTACTTCTGAAGTGTAACAATCTCTTTGTGAATATTAGTGCACTTCAACTCCATAACTTTGACCTTCCCTTTTCAAGTATCCATTTCCTTGAAGGGACTACCTAGGGTAAAACATTACCCCATCTGACAAGGACGAGAGAAGAAATAGAAGAACCTTTGAAAATTATATAACCAAGCTTAGAGGCCATTTCCATCTTATCCCCCTCGGAGAGATTCTAGACGAAGGATAAATCTGATGCAGAGATAATAACGGCAACCTCCAAAGAGTGCATGGAAGTCAAGAAGAGAAAATATTTGTTATTTTTATGAAGGGAGTCACCTCCTTGGAAGCATCATCCTCAATGACACGAGTCTATTTTGGAGAAGCCTCAACCTAGGGAGATTGTTGTTCCTCATCCCAAGCCCTATTGGTTGACGATAGAGGTAGAGTTTGTTCCTCCATCGTGAAAGTTGTTGAAGTGTCCACAAGATTATATACTTAAGGAATAGGAGTCGAAGCTTCTATAGTTGGGGTATGAGAAGGGACCGAAGTAGGAGCAGTAGCTGCCAAAAGAGTGAGGGAAGAAGGAGAAGTAACGGTATTCACCACAACAAAGATACCTTGGGAATCTTAAAGGTGGTAGAACATATTTAACTTGCCTAATTTGTCCATGCTATCTGTAAAATGCAATCACACATGTCAATAAAATCATGAAGACTCTGATCTCACCGAAAATCTCCCCTTATTCAAGAGTAACAAGACTCCAGATAGAGAAAGTATATCTTTGTTTTCCTCACTTTGGCATAGGGTATCTCACCATGGATGAATCCTTCCTTATAACCAAGTCCATGAGACCAAGATGGCATTTTCTCCTTCATTTTCACCTCATCCGAAGAAAGAGAGCTCGAGTAGGTACAATAGAAGCCAACATCCCAATTAAAAATAGATCTTAGACCAATACTTCAGATATGAAATGTGATAATATTAAGGAGAAACTATAGAGATATAAAATAAAATAGAGTGGGTTATGGGGTTAAACATCTTCACTACTATGAAACGTTCCATAAAATCACCCCAATCCAGAGTAAAGGGGTCGAACCAAGGGATGACCTGCTAAAGGTGAAGAAGCCCGTGATTGCGAAAGTTTTCTAAAGTAGTACACCTCAGACGGAAAAGATTTAAAAATAATATAAGAGAGGGCTTCCAGGGTTTGTACTCAGCACATTGTTGGAAGACCCTCATATATGTCCATGACCCCGAATGAAGCTGAGAAAGGGTAGTCTTCAAATGTTTCAGAACAAATAACTCAAATTCATAAAAGGGCATCCGAAGTTTGATTCTTATAAACAAGCACTCATATAAAGATACCATGAAATCATTAAAAGAGTTGCATATCCTCTTCTCCTATGACACCGGAAGGACCAACCACTCCAAAGGATTATCGACAATAATGTCAACATCTCTTAGGGAGGCCTCAGTTCTTAGATCCGAAGAAATGGCCACTACTTTTTCATCCTCCCTATCATACATCGATACATCCCGTCGCTTCTAAAGTTTTAATTGTTCTAACACCTCAACATCACTAGGTTGGGGACCTTTCATCCATAGAAGAACCTAAATGAAATCTCTAACATTGTCCCTCCTTTGCAAATTGGTTATCACCTCCTATTCAAACAAGATAGAAGGAGGCATAAAGACTTCAACCTGATTTTTTCTTCCACCAACATATTATATGAGGGAGTCTAAAAACCTAGAAAAATAAGTTTCTTCTTCCAAGGAGACCCGATATACCCTTTCTGACTCAAAATTGTTAGATATGGATATGATTTCTGGTTATACGTGATCACCTTAAGAGAAGGGTGAGGAGACTCAAGGGATGACCCCGATGAAGTTTCCACTTTATAATCACTCACTAAATCAAAATTATTGTCACTCATCTTGAGTTAGAAGGGTATCTGGTTACGAGAGATTGATGAAGCAGGAGGAATGAAAAAGGAGAAAGCTTTAAGTGAACTTTTGAGTCACTTATAGTGATATACTCGAGGAATAAGGAACAAATATGTTTATCTAGAATGTAACTGTAAGCTGGAAAACTAAAAGGTTGTGAAAATTTCCAAATATTCAACTCACTCTATTTATAAGCAACGAAAACTGAAAGATTAAGACGAACTATGAGTAGAAATCATAAGATCAACAACTAGATTTTAACTCATGGTTACACGTCAACTCGAGTGAACTCAAGTAATGTATAAATTTTGCCATACCTTAGATGGTCACATTATTGCACGTTTCAGGAATGGATAATGGAGTGTTTTATTGAGGGGACCATATTAAATATGTTTGTTTCCTATTACTTTTTTGAAATTGATCCCTAGTGATTCAGTTCCATTCCACATCAGATCACAACATGAAGGAAAATATATGATACTTAAGGCTTCCCTCGGCTCCTTCAGTGCTCGACAAAGCCTTGGGGGTAACTTTTTAGACTAGCCAAAGACTCAATGGACCAAGGCTCAAGCCATCTCAAATTCACTCTACTTGACCAAATATATAAAAATAGTTCACGTGAAGAGCAAGGTACAATATATGATCTCCACTTTCATTAAACTCATCTTGAGTGTTGAACTGACTTAAGCATTAGAGTGCTAATTATGCAGTCCTCATGTGCCACCGTAAAGGATATCAGAGCCACTACTCAAGATCAACAATTAATCAAGTCTCTTTATATATGGTTCTTTCACAGAGCTAGAGCATCCATTTCTGGTTCCCCAATAGAATAAAAGGATAATCAAGATTCTAATAATATTGTTGGGAAGTGCAAAATGTACTTTTTTACATAAGCACTTATTAACTTAAAGCACCGATAATCACATAAAACTACCCCCCAATTTATCATGTAAAGATGGTAAATCACATGTGTGAGATTTTTAACTATGTTATTCATAAGCACATGTAAAAATGATTAAAAATAATAATAAAGTATGAAACGACGGGCATGTATGTCCTTTATAGTCTAGGAAGTTATTTTATTGGTCGGGCTAAGGCGACTCAAAATAATTCAAACATATCTTCAAGACCAAGTTATTTCATAGTGGAGAAAAATCCATCTGCATGAAGATTTCTACAAACAAGTGAAAGCATACCACTAATCAATAAAAGAAAATTTCATCTAGAAGATCTAGAAGAAATTTTTGGCATTGTACAAGAAATCAATAGTAGAAATTTGATTGTGCTGGCAAATACTTCAGAAGAAATTAACTTGGACATTATCATAGAATTCTTTGAAAATGCTAAACAGTTAGAGGATGACCCGCTTTCAAGATTGTTTTGGGTGAAAGTCCGCTGAATACCATATGATAGAGATGTTATCCATGAGTACTTAGAAGATGGTTATATGATAGGTCCCAATGAGCTAGACCTGTTTGCTAAGCAAGTTGAAGGGTAAATTGGGAGTTCCATCAAATAGAGGCTGGCATCTGCCATGAAAATGAAACTTATGAAAGGATGAGTCCAAATGGTGGTTTGAGTGGAGGAGCAGGTGAAAGTGAAGATGGCAATTGGTCTCAAGGTCATATACTAAAATTTTAAATTAAAAAACATTTGTCATATATGTGTTCATTCCTATTTATTAAACTTCAAACTTGACGAAAACGAATCACATATAAAATAAATATAAATTTTAAAATGAATATACAAAACATATCGCTCCCATCTTATAAGTTATTTTTTAAGGCTGTGTTGTTGAAATATACAGTTAATATAATAGAATTTATTTAAAAAGTTAACATATTATTTATATTCACGCATCAGAGTTAATTTAATAACATTATATGTCAAAAACGTATTCGTAAAATATAAATCTCATAAAATAAAATAATTTTTTAAAAAAAATTATAAAGAATAAAGCAACTCACCTTATGAGACAAATTTTATTGAATAATTTTTTTTATTAAGTAGTTTAGTGGTGGAAGTTCATCCTTTAAAAATAAATAAATAAGATATTATAAATTCAAATCCGTGATCTTATATCTAATATCCTTGCATAACTAACAACTCAGTTAATTTAAAAAAATATATAAATAATTTAATTCTAATATAAAATACCTAACAAAATATATATAACTATTAAGAGTCAATCAAACCACTGTATTGTTTAGAATTGTAAATAATACATAAAAATGGGGAATAGAATAAAAAATAAGAAAAGCATAATAAATTATTGCCCATATTTATTTTTATTTAAATTAATCACCATATATCTTCTCAACCCTCATATATTGAAATTTAACCAAATATCACCAACAATTCCATAGTTTGAAAATTCATAATAAAAAACCTATGAAAATAAACAAAACACAAAGTGGTATAAAGCTAATACAAATATCACATATTTTCATAATAACTAGAAGATAAACATGGCTTAATAAGAATTTCAAGGGGAGTTGGTTTCTCCAAAAGCTTCACCCATATCAATAGAATTACTTGAAGGAGTTTGAGATTTCAAAGGAATGAAAAAAAACTAGCTAAGGTTAAACTCACCATTTCAAGGCCCAAAGATATTTTAGGACAAGTCACTAGTGCAGAAATGACTTTTTATATCGGTTCTAGGTCCGATGTAAAGTCAGACGATATAGTAAATCAGGTATTTTTTACATCGGTTCTGGGACCGATGTAAAAAGTCCCTTTTTTACATCGGTTATAATATAAGAACCGATGTAAGAAACATTTATTATGCATATTTTTTAAAAAATTGGTCCAGTTTTTTACATCGGTTGGAAGTAATACCCGATGTAAAAAGTCCCTTTTTTACATCGATTATAATATAAGAACCGATGTAAGAAATAGTTATTATGTATATTTTTAAAAAAAATTGATCTAGTTTTTTACATCGGTTTGTTAATTGTATTTTTTACATCATATATTTTGATACCCGGTGTAAAAACCTTTTCTCAAATTTCTTTTTTTTAGTAGTGAGTCCTTCTACCACTTCCAAATGATAATAATTGAAAGTTATGACCCTTAACATCAATTTCTTTATGAGTGGTAAGAAACCGTTCTGGTTTAAACTCTAATGGATCTAACCAAATCTTAGAGTCCATGTGGATCTTCCAAAGATTCAAGATAAGTCGAGTTCCTTTTTCGACAACATAACCACCAAATTGTCTATATGAGATACTTCTACACACCTTTGTTTTCTAACTCGAATGTCAAGTTCTTCTTTTGCTTTTTTCTTTACATGAGGATTTTCCAGTAACAAATATATTCCCCATGTAAGATTTAGACTAGTTGTGTCAACCCCTCCTGCAATCAATGCCTGCAAAGAAATTGCAATTTTCATAAGCAAATGTTAACATGCTTCCTCTAATCACTATTATAAATAAATAAAATTTTTTTAAATTTATTGAATAACTAATATATTTAATCGTAATTACATACCAATATTGTGTCTTTGATTGTAGTATCAGAATCAAATCCTTCAACTATTGTTCCATCAAGCAATGAAAGCATCACATCCATGAAATCATGATGATCAGGATCAACATCATCCTTCTCACTCAAAGTCTCGTTATCGCCGCGATGCTCCTCTAATAATTCACTTAAAATTTTGTCCATCTCCGCAGAAGCTTAAAATAATCTGAAGACTTGTTTCCTTTACTACACCAACCATTAAAGAGATCTTTAATCGAACGTCAAACTTTCATTACATGGAAATGTTGAAGTTGTCTCAAACGTCGATAATTGAGAATCTCTAATAAAGTTGTAATTTTACGCGCTTGACGCCAAAAAGGACCATAGGATACTAAATTAAACATGACTCCATTGTAAGTCATATGTTGAGTTGATTCAAGCATAGGGCAACTAGAAACTGTCAAGTCAATTTTGGTGAAACATTCTTTAGCCATTTCCCAATTACTTAATACCAAAGCACGTTTGGAACCAAACTTAATGGAAATAAGGGTCCATATTTGGTTGCCAGTTGACCTAAGGTTTTATAAGATATTCCTTTTGAAGCCCTCAAAAGTGGGAGGTGACCAAATATTGGCCATGCCCCTTGAACTATAGGAGCCTCATTGGTATTAGAAACCTTAGAAGATCTATAATAAAGAAAGTAAAAGAAAGCTAATGTAATGGGCACTAGCATTTTGTAAATGAAATGTGTTTAAATTAACTAAATGTGAATAAATTAATAGTTTTGTAATGTAATAGTTATAAACAAATCCAATCAATTCAAATAAAAATCGTTCTGCACCCCAATATGTAAGCAACTTGTCTTAATGAGTTAAATAAAGTCATATATGTCAGCGACTTCGTGTCCAATGTGCGTAATTCGCATGTGTCACAAACGCATTTTATGGATTATGTGGAAAATTCCTCACATTAACGTATCATCTTTCTTCAAGTGACGTAGCCAAAGCTTGGCTTGTAGTCTATGCGTAAGACTTCACATTGTGACTTTTTCTAGGATTTTTCAAATTTGCCTTGATCATTATTGGCTCTATGAATTCTTCATGTTTCCTTGTCAGCATGTGACGGGTCTCTATAAGGAGTAAGTCGCATCTCTTACCTCATGTGAATTTTGTGATTCATAGGGTGATAGCCTACGAATAATCATGATATGACTAGGAAATATAGTTGTAGTGTTGGTATTTGTTAAATGGTTTAACTAAAGTGGTGACTATAGGCCATCCTTAAGAGAGGTAACGATAATATGTCATTTTAAGGAAGGTATTGTTTTGTCCTAAGGATTTCATATTGTCTGATTGTAAGAAATATGGGATAAGACATTTCTTGAGTAGAGAGAAGGTGGAGTCATTAACTGACTCACGATCCCTTTAGATATAGGGAGTCGACGGTCCATCATCGACTAGGTGGACGGTGACTCTTTCTAAGATAATTCTAAGTCAAAAAAGTCTTTATAAACACCTCTCTCTCAGAGAGAGGAGACAGATCTTAAGTCATACAAATCACACCCCACAAATGGTTAAACACACTACAAAATAATAGAGCATCTCACCCCTCACGAGAATGACCTCCAAACCACCACAAAACACAGTCGTAGAAGACTTCTCGCCATCGTGGACAAGCCCTAACCTCGATACAATGTAATATACTTACTAAGATCGCTGAGTAACTCTACTCTTTGTAGAGACAACACACACACTTGTACTTTTTGACCATTACAATGCCGCCTACCGTGGGGTCTTAGCCATTCTTAGACGAGATATGAAAGATGTCTGCCCCTGAGGGATTCAAACCTCCCTCTTTGGCCAAGTTTGATGGGCGAAATGATCCATACGAGCAAGTCGCCTCCATCAACTCACACATGTCCATCATAGAAGTGTCTGACTCCCTGAAGTGCAAGCTATTATCCGACAAATTCAAAGACGCCGCCCTGCGATGTTATATGGGTCTACCCTATGCCTCCATCGCTAGCTATCAGGAGCTGGTAAAAAAACTTATTCACAAGTTTGTCGTCAGCTGTCACAGGAAAATGTCCATCACTAGTCTATTCAATATACAACAAAGTCCATCAGAGAAGATGATGGACTAACTCGCTCTGTTTAGTGATGCCACCATCAGGGTCATCCCACCAAGCCAAGAAACATTTATAGGGGCATTCCAAAGTGGACTCAAGGAAGCACACTTTAACCCGTCTCTAACCCATAAGTTGACGCTTTCATTGCAGAAGTGGTCACCAAAGCAGAATATTACATAAAAGTCAATGAGAGCAACACCGAAAAGAAGGCACATGATGTTTAGGAGCGTGTTCCCAATACCTAGGGTTTGCACCACTCGAGAAAGAGTAATTATACCTCTCCCATAAAAGACAAGATTGCATTCACGAGGGTAGGAAAGGCAACAGAGAACTTCATGCCCCTGAACACCCATCCTGAACAGATCTGACGTGAGGTTCTTCACTAGTACAACATCCCTACATCGCCCACTACGAAAGCGAATGTAATGGGTCCTAAACTAGGAAGATGATGCAAGTTCTATTGAGTCAAGGGACACCACACTAAATATTGTTACCAACTCAAGAAGAAAATTTATAGACTAATCCAAAAGGGACACCTCAAGAAATAGGTAAAGGGAAGCTCTTCCCACGTGTCGGACAAGTCCAACTCACAAAGGCGAGATGACATGGGAAGCCCCAGGCCCAAAAAAGCTAAGGATTCATCCTAGAGAGAGGGAAATAAATCTATCATGGGAGAGGGGACTAGTCCCGCCCACAAAAGTTACACTCACCAAATCTTGAATATAAAAGACACCCTCAACGTCAAAGGAAAACACAAAGCCCGATATCCAGAAGCCATAATCTCCTTATCTGAGAAAGATGCAATTGGTATCTACCTTCATAATGATGACCCCATGGTCATTACTGTTAGATGTGACAAATGAGAGATTAAAAGAGTTCTCATACACCAGGGGAATTCTGTAGATATTATGTAGTAGGAGGTGTTTGAAAGACTTCCCATTAGCCTATACGACTTGAAACCCTTCAAAGGTTTGTTGGTTGGATTCCCTGGAGAATAGGTACAAGTAAAATGATATATCACCTTGAAGTTGGATCCTTAAGTGGGATGCTTGCTGCCAATAGAGACGGTCAAATCGTTGGATACCTAAGTGGGATCCTTGTCGCCCATAGAGGAGATCAAATCGCTGGATCCTTCAGTGAATTATTACCGCTTATAAAGGTGATTAAATTTATGGATCCTTAAGTGGGATCATTGTCGCTCATCGAGGCAACCAAATCACTGGATCCTTAAGTGGGATCCTTGTTTCCCATAGAGGCGATAAAATTTCTAGATCCTAAAGTTGGATTGTTTTCGCCCATAGAGGAAATCAAATAGGTGGATCCCTAAGTGGGTTCCTTGTCATCCATTGATGCGATAAATTTGTTGGATCCCTAAGTGTGACCCTTGCCTCCCATAGAGGCGATCAAATCATTGGATTCTTAAGTAGTTTCCTTGCCTCCCATAGAGGTGATAAAATAGTCGCATCCTTAAGTAGGTTCCTTTCCCCCCTTGTGAAAATATATGTTGGAATTCACAAGCGAAGATCCTTTCCTCCCTTTATGGAAATATTCACTAAACTTTATGAGCGAAAATCCTTGCTACCCCTTGTGGAAATATTCTCTAGACTTCATAGCAAAGATCTTTTCCACCCTTTAAGGCAATATTTGCTGGGCTTCATAGTAAGGATCCTTGCTTCCCTATGAGGAAATATTTGTTGGACTTCATAGCGAAGATCATTTTGCCTTCCCTTAAGGAAATGTTTGCTAGACTTCATAGCAAATATCCTCGTATGAGTTCAAACTTCATTGGTAAATATTTTGAATGATGTCAAAATTGAGAAAAGCTCGCACCTCTGAGTATTGGATGGTATCCTTATTTCTTGTGGAACTCCTATGCATTATAGGTCTTAGGAATTATTAAAAAATATTTCAAAATTGATTCAAGTCCTTAAAAATAGTTTTCTACATGATTTTCACTGTATGTGTCGACACATCCATATTTCTGATCGACACATGTAATGCATTTTTAAAGCCTATAACTTCCATAAGTCTTAGGCCGACACATGCATGTTTCAGGTCGACATATACTGAAGCTTTTTTGAAATTGCAGAAATTCTTATTTTATGTGCCGACACATCCACTTTCCAGGTCGACACATTTGCTATCATTTTAAAGCCTGTAGCTTTTGTAACTTTTCGGTCGATACATGGTTCTTTATAGGTCGAAACATTCTATTCAAAAATCACGTATTTGTTGACACATACGACTCTTAGGTCAACACATACTATTTTAGTTGGTCAGTTTTTTAAATTCTTTTATTCTGACTTTATCCCTCTTTTCCCTAAAAGTTCCAAAACTATAAATACTCCTTCATGCATCATTCCAACTTGTTGAAAACGATACACTTAGCCTATTTCTCTCTTCATCTTCAACCTCCAATCTATGCATATACACTGACATTACATTGTAACGATGTTCCATTGGGGTGCCATCTAGACGAGGATTGCTAGTGTCCAATTGTGTATTGGGTGAAGTTTTGTAAGGGTTTTAACCCTTGGGTTTTTCCTCCAAGATCGTTGGTTGATTTGGTGGTCTTCGTGCAAGACGTTCGAGAGGTAATTACGTTAAAGTGAAAAACTTTGGAGTACTTAAAATCTTTTCAAGGATCCTTGGAATGTTTGAAATCTTTGCAATGAAGTAACTTGGAGTACCAAATATAATTGAAGTCTTGTGTTACAATAGTTTCAGATTGACGGTGCGCAAAAGGTTTGGAGATAAAGAATGCAAAGGAGTAGCAAGATCAAGATTTTCATTTCTCATCTATTGTGTCTTGGTGTTTCTCAAAATAAAGGAAAGAGAAGAGGTTGAATAAATAACAAGCTTAGAGCTTGTTCAGTTTCTCTTGAACACTTCTCTTGTATCAACATTTTTGCACAGTAAGAATTATTCTAATTCCATTGGAATTAGGCGTAGACATACCCACACGCGAGGACGATAGTGGGGAATTGTGAAGACAAATTCCTCGTGTCGCTTTTTATATTTGGTTTTACTTGTTTTGATATTCATTGTTCGATTTATCAAATAGCATTGCATTATC